TCTCAAAGTTAAAAGGGTAGACAGCGCCCAAGAAACAGCACTGAAGATGTCCCCTGGCCTCCGCAGACACAGCTCACACATATGCACGTATACATTGCAAACAATGCACCTTTGTACACGTGCACTTGTGCAAACCTCCTCAGACACACAACAACATCCCCTAAATCCTGAACAGCAAATGTCCACTCCAGTTGCTTTTTTCAAAACACAAGCCAGAGCATAGCTACCTCTGTCTAGCCTAGCCCAGAGCCCTGCCTGAGGGGTTAAAGAGTTCCAGCTTCCCGGAGAGAACTCCTCAGGTCCTTGCAGACTTGGGGGACATTTGAGAGGTGCCTGAGGGTGCTGTGGGTGGGAGCCAGTGAAAGGCACACCATCGAGGCACCTCCCCCCACCCCAACTTCATTATTCATGTGACAGCACGCCAGGGCGGCCTCCAACCCAGAGCCTGAGGTTTGTAATGTAACATGAGAGAGCAATGGGGCCAGTGGAGGTCTCCTTAAATCCCTAGCACTGGTGCTGGACCTGGCACCAGAAGAGGTTTTTCATTACCTGTTACCAGACACCATGAATTATGCATGCCCGGGGCTTGTTTTCCATGCCTCGAAGCCCAAGTCCTGGAGCCTGCAGGGAAGGGAAGGGGTGGCTTGCTGTGCCTGGGGAAGTGGGCGTTTTCCTTCCCTTCTTTTGGATTTGGCGCTGGGGGTGAGAGCCGGAGCTTCAAGCATGCTAGGCAGGCCCTCTGCCGAAAAGTACATCTCTGGTCTACATAGTCTTCTCGGTGGAAAAAGTATTTGTCCAGCGGTTTGGGACACACACACACAAATACAAGCAATGAGATGGCTCTGAGTTTGAGAATGCCTGTGTGCTGCTCTTGCGGGGGACCAGGGCTCAGTCTGCAACACCCATATCCAGGGGCTCACCGCTGCGTGCAACTCCAGCTCCAGAGGATCGGTACTGTCTCTGGCCTTTGTTGGCATGTGTTCACACACACACACTCACAAACAAACACACGCATGCACAGACTCACACAGATTCACACACATTCATATAGTCACACACAAACTCATACACACTAGCACTCAGACACTCAGACACACACTCATACTTAGACACACACACATTCACATAACGAAAAAATGAATTCGTCTGTGAAAGAAAAGAAATAGAACTTTTAGTCAGCCTCCAGAAATAACTACCATCCCGGATTGGATTATCTCCATTCTTGTTGGTAAACGACTTTTGCTCTCCGTGCATCTGCAAATAAAAGATGCATCTGCATCTTTTCTTTATTTTATTTAAGGGCAGGATGTCTCATTTTAGAGCAAAAGCAGGCAAGCTAACAAAAGTGGCCCCACACTGATCATGATGACCAACATTCACATGATAAAGGCTTTTCCCATGGCTTCTAACATTGCAGTAGTTTTGGATACTTAAATGTGTCAATAGGACCAGGAACGTTGGCAAGAATCTTGGATGAAAATGGACACTAAGTAACTGGTGCTTTCATCCACAAGGTTTGTATAAAGTCACAGGAATCAATGGCATTATGCTATGACAACACTTTCTTAAATGATATCTGGATGTATTTATCCTTTGCAATCCTTACCATCTTCATTTCCTCTTAGACCTTGTGCTGGAGCATGCCGGTCCGGCTTATTCTTTTTCACAGCTGTATTCTTTTTCACATGCTCTCACCATGGCTAATATGCTGGTGATTTCCCTTTGCATGGTAATCAGTTTATTTCATAAACAGAACTGTTCTGCATGCTCTTGCGTGGGATTGTGCAAACACGCAAGAGTTTCTGCAGGCTTTTCATGTAGGAGTCTGTGTGGGAGAACGGGTCTATGCCATCCTCACACCTGCTGACTTGTCAAATAGCTCTTTAAAGTTTGGGCCAGTCTCCACTGTTTAGTACCCAAGCCGTCTGTTCCCTTCCCCCATCTATGGTGAGCCCATTGTGGACATACTTTTATTTATTTTGTCATCTTTCCTAGTGTAAAAAAAAAAAAATTATTTAGATTTGTATGTCCCAGTCTACTGGGGCTCAAACTAACTATCCATGCAGAAGGTCCGTGTGTGAAGCTGAGCGTGGTGGACTCCTTCTGTTTAGGGATGGGGGGCGGTTTCGTGCTTCAGGTGCTGAGGATGGAGTGGGCGATCTCTTGCATGCTAGCAGGTGCCTCACCACTACCCTATATTCCAGCCCCGTTTGCCCCCTTTGTAACACACCCATGTTCCCAAATGCAGGGCAAATTTTAACCAACTGTTCACAATGGGTCTTGTAGTGTTTTTAAGAACTACATGTGTGAACATATGTGTGTGTATGTGTGTATCATAATGGGTACGTGGAGCTAAGAGGACAGCTTGCAGGAGTTTAGGACTTGGTCCCGTTCTTGTGCCTTGTGGTTCCAGGGACTCAAAACTCATGTCATGGGTGTGGTACAAGAAACATCTCAGAGGCCCCAGGGCATTGTGGGCCTTTTGGCCGGTGCCTTAACCATGTGTAAACCATGATCGTGGTGTTGCTCACATTGTCTTTCCTCCCTGATTGGGAATTGGTTTTAATAGCGGGTGTGACACCTACAGGAAGACTATAGGGATGAGGGTCCTGAAGGCCGGTGTCCTCGTAGTCCCAGGCTCATCCTGATTTAGCCTCCCTTCCGCCACAGCTCCCAGGGAAGCTCTGGCCCCACTGCCCTAAGCCACTGCTGGATTTCTTGTCTAGAAGGCCTGTTCTCACTTGCAAGGTGTCACACTGCACAGTCACTAACAGGGTCCTCCACGATCAGCAATGAGTGTTCTGTCACACGCTTTTCACTTTTTGACACTTTCTGCAAGACACTTAGGGACGGTTGCTCCCCCGGCGTGTGTGCTCATGTGTGTATGGGAACATGCGTGTATATGTGTGGGCCAGAAGACAAGCTAATGTGTGCTCATGTGTATTTGGGAGCGTGTGTATATATGTGCAGGCCTGAAGACAAGCTTGGGTTTTGTTGCTCAGGATCCATCCAACTGTGTGTGTGTGTGTGTGTGTGTGTGTGTGTGTGTGTGTGTGTGATGGTTTCTCACCTGGAACTCAGCAAATGGGCTAGGGTTGAGCCCCAAGGGCCCACCTATCTTGCTTCTGCAGTGCTAGGATTATGAGGGGGCAACACCATGCCTGGCTTTTCTTACACGGGTTCTGGGGATCAGATTGAAGTCCTCGTGCGTGCCCAGCAAGCACTTCACCAGCTAGGGCCTGTCGCCTTTTCAGTGTTATTTCTCTTCTCCTTGCGCTCTGTAGAAGGCAAATCTATGAGTTCACCTCTGCTCTCCGATGCTCTCTCACACGTCCCAGGCCTTTAATAAAGATGAAAGAATGGGTGGCGGTTGGCAGAGATCAAAGAGAGGAGGGAAAAAAAGACGAATGGGTTGAATGAGTCTTCATGTGTCAAGTCCTAGAAACGACACCACATGGACTGGGACAAACCCATGAAGCCAACAGCAGGGGACTGAGTGCGATGCTGAGTAACCACCCACCCAGGCAGGGTGTGTTGATGGCAGTCAGGGGATGCAGTTTAGGTTCCTAATTGACAGTTTATGCCGGATCTTGAAGGCAAGCAAGCCCCACATGATTCTAATTGGTAAAACTAACAAGATCGCCATCTTGGAAACCCCACCCCTCACTGCCACGCTAATGAGGACAGCACATAATTTGGGGATAAAGGTAAGGCTGGAGATGGACAGACCTCCCAGAGGGATGTCATGGTAACAGAGGGGAGAAGCCAGTGGCCACATCCGAAGAGAAGAAGGGTACCGAAGAGACGTGAACAACTCTCGAAGTTAAAGAAATCCAAGAACTGGCTGCGTCTAGCCGGGGCTGAGCCACCAGGCCACGCTTCTGCCAAGCATGCTCTTAAGTAATCAAACTGGGACGCCTTCCAGGGTGCTCCACCCACAACTTCAACTTCCCTTCTGGTGAAAGCAATCTGGAAAGAGCCTGCAAGTTGGCCAGAGGAGCGGGGCAGCCTGCAGAGTAAACTGGAAGGGTTTTGGAAGGAAGGTGGTTTTTGACATCCAAGTTGCCCTGCTCTCCAAAGCTTTTGTGTGAGTAAATTGCTTTCATTTGTCTCAGGGCACCTTTTTCAGCCCAGCTTCTTCCAGCTTGCTTGCAAATGTTTCTCAGTGGTGCATTTGAGGTTTGGCTTTGTCCCCCTGGCTGGGACCAATCTTTTATTCGTAGGAAATAGCTGGGTGATGATCCTACACTCCTGGATCCCATTTCTCCTAGCAGCTGTTCATTCAGTATTAGATACCTTGATGTTCGACCATGTGCCTGCCTCCCCCTGCCTGCTCCTTACTAAGGGGAGCAGCAAATGCACCACTTCACCCTTCCTTGGCCAGACAGTTAGGATTAACACCTGTTTCTTCAAGACTATGCTAGGACACAGTGGGAGTGTGTGTGTAGGGAGGGAACATGTAGGCTGTCCCATTCCCTCACCTCCCTCAATTACACAGCCCTCCTTCCAGCCAACAGTCACGCATTCCACCGCAACCTAAAAACCTCCAGATGATGGGAGTATCGCGTTTCAAGGTTCACATGGGAAAGCCACAACCCACCCTCCTCTTGTTCAAGTTGCATCGAATCTAATTTCCATGGCCCTGTGCAAGCGGGAGCCCCACAGCCCCCAGTCAGCTGTCGGGGTTTGGAAATGCTATTTCCAAACACAGTCCTGTAGGCAGCCAGCAGGCACTAGACAGCTGAGTGCTGGCAGAAAAAGTCCCAGACACCTATAGCCATCCAAACGGTGACTCATCTCATTATGGCCAGGATAAATATGAGAATAAATGGTATTTTTCTACAAGCAGGAAGAATTGTCAAAATGCTTATCACTTTATAAAATATAACAGATTGTGCCAGTTCATGTTTTGAAATGTTCCAACCATTCAGTGGGGCTTTTTTTTTTTTCTTTCTTTCTTTCTTTTTTTTAAGTTCAGCTTCATTTTTTCTTCTTTCTAGGAGGCCTGGGGAAGCTAGGAGTTTGCACTCCCTACCACCCGAGCTCTGGATTCACCTGGCCGTGGTGGCTTGTGGAAACCGGCTGGAGGAGACGCTGGTCATGCTGAAGTCAGCTGTGCTCTTCAGCCACAGGAAGATGCGCTTTCACATCTTCACGGAAGAGGCTCTGAAGCCAGAGTTTGACAAACAGGTGAGGCAGGGTAGACCAAGAGACCACACTGGACAAGCTGCAGATGAAGTTCACAGCTAGAGCTGGCCACATGCTTAGTTGTAGGACCCTGGATCCCTGGCTCAGAGGGTTCCTTCACTTGCGAGTGTGTGATCCAGAGATGGGCTGGGGACATGGCTCAGTTTCTAAAGCACTTACTAAGCATCAGAACCCATGTTTGGGTCTCTATAACTCACCCAGAGCATCTGTCTCTAGTCCCAGCACTCCTAAGGAGAGACAAGAAGTGGAGGCAGGAGAACTTTCAGAAAGAAGCTCATGGGCCAGCTAGCCTGCCTTGTGCCACCCTGCCTCAAACAAGATGGAAGGTGAGGACCAACTCCCACGGTTGTCCAACAAACTCCACTTGGAATTGGTCCATGAGATGAGCTTGTACCCATATTTCTACACACCAACACACACACACCCCACACACAAAAGAGGTTTTGTTGTTGTTGTTTTAATTGGACGGATCGTGTCTTCCCTTAGACATATTGGGAACATGTGAGCATATGAGATGGAGATGGTACTTAGTCTCTGTTGGGTTATTAGAACTGTCCACCTTTCGGGGCAAATAGCTTATTTTTATATATTTATGAGAGAATTTTCAATAACAAGTAGCAGATTCAATGGAATAAATCCAAATAATACTGAGGATAAAAGATAGAGTCCCCACCACCCTCACGTCTCATGTAAGAGATGCGAGGGGTAATGATTTGGGGGAGTTCTGACAAGTTTTCCTTATCACCCAGAGGTGACCATATGCGTTTCTATGTTTCTAGATGTAGATACACATATGTTTATTCATATGCGCACATATGTATGTAGATCAGGGCTGTGCTCTCCTGGATTCTCCGGCTGTGAGGCCTTGTCAGCCTTGCTCCAGGCCAGTGTTCCAAAACCCTCGCCTCCTTGTTAGTGACTCTTGGAGATTTTGTTGTGCAGCTGGGTCTCTGTTTACTTGGCTCTCCCCTCTCAGAGTTTTGACCCACATAGAAGAGCCACAGAAAGGCCGGTTCCCTCAGTGGAGGTCCTGCCTGACCTCGGCAGGCCAAGCTTTGTTTGCCTTGGAAGTTTTATCTTGTACCAAGGTCCTGGACTCTGGCAGAGAAGGAACCTGCTTTGTTTTGTTTCTGCTGACTGAGTCAACAGTGCTGTGTCCTGTCACCAGGCTAGCTGTGCTCATGAGGAATGCCAAAAACAATACATTGAGCCGAAAAAGACTAACAACAGAAAACTAGAGAATGTGTTATGTTTCCTAAGGGAAAGATAGTTTTGAAATGCCACCAAAAGAAGCTATTAACCTGTTAGCCTTAGGGCTTTGGAGTCAATTGGAACAATGCCTTGTGAAGTGCCTCGGGGGACAAGGGACTGAAAAGATTGGAACATTCCCAATTGGCTTCTCTGAAGTGATGCTATAAGGGAAAGGACAATGACAAAATAAAAATTATAGTAATTCTGTCAGCTGCTGATTTGTGATTCCTTCTGACAACTCTTTGCAGAAAGCAGCTCTTGTCTAGTTTATTTTTTATTGCTATAACAAAATACCTGAGGCTATGTAACATTCTAAAGAATGTTCATTTAACTCACAAGTCTAGAGGTTCAGGGTTATGGTCCCAATATCGTGGTAGCTGTTGCAGGGATCTTTGGCAGATGGTGTCCTACCACAGCAGAACATCACATTGTCAGACAGGAATCCAGAGAGAGAGATTAGGGTGTGGTGAGACTTGACCTTTTATAACAGCAATCTTGTAAGAAATTATCTCAAGAGTTTTCTACCCAGCTCCCTTCTGGGGCATGTCCCAGTAACCTAAGGTATCTTCTTTAGACTTCACCTTTAAACATTGCCACAGTGAGAACCCGGCCTCTGTCACAGGAAGTTGTATGTGAGCTAAAAGTGTAGCAGACTGTGAAAACTGAGATGCAGAGAGTTCTATTGGGTTTCCCACACAAAACACCAGGTTAAACTTACTGACTCAAGTCTCCATGGCACTTACCACAATCCCATACACTCTCCTGAACCAGTAGACAAGGAACTTTCATTCAAAACTTGGTTCGTTATTTACTTGTTCTAGGATCTTGGATAGTCTTTTGGCCTTTGAATGTCTCCTTTCTCCCCATCTGCAACTTTGGGTTAGCAGGCTGTTTTTAGAAAAGTGATAGATCCGTGTTCCGGATAGGTCAAATCAGTTGTGATGACTGCTGCAGAGCTCAGCACCTTGCATGCCTGCTGCATCTCTCCCACCGGGACTAACTGGTCCATGTGGCCTTGGCTCTCGATCAGGAGCTGAAGGGCACTGCTCATTCATCACATGCACCTGGCACATTGTTGGCCAGTCACAGTTCCCAGGATGCTAGCTGAGGGAAGAGATAGACTGGAGCAGCATCAGGACCACGCCTTTGGCTCCTTCTGTGTGGCACTGGCACGGATCTCTTCAGCTGTCCCAAGGCATTCATGGGCCATCCAACTACAGCAGCCTCAGAACTGTTCCTACAGAAGAATGGAGAAAAACTGGCCATAGATGAACATTAGTCCCATCACACAGAGTCCATCCGGCATCTCCTGCATGCTGGATGCTGAGCATGGAGTTGTACATTTGGCTAGAGATTGCATGGAAAAAGGGAGATGTGTTTGACCATATCTGTATGGTCAACTGCACCTGCACTGACAACCACAGACCTTATTCTTCTGAGGGTCCACCATCTCCCAGCAGCACTATGGAGGGCCAGAATTTTAATCATGGCATTTCAGACATGGAGACGGTCCAGATCTGAACCACAACAACTCCTACTATAGCTTCCTTCACTGGTCTCAGAAATACTTGAAGCAATTCAAGAGAAGGAGCAAATACTTCAGAGAAACAAACAGCAGAGCACCTTAGCATCAACCATTACTTCCAAGAGGAGCCGGCTCCCAGTTCACAACTTGACAGTCACTGTGGCTCATCAAACAATCACCCAGAACCCATGGGTCAAGAATTCAGACAAGGCACACAGGGAACAGGGATGCTGTTTCACCATTCTGGGGGCTGAGCCAGAGGCCTCAGAGACCAGACATGAACCATCTGGAGGCAACTTCATCCACAGGCCTGGTGACCAGGGCAGGTTGTTGGCTGAGGCCTCACTCATCTCTCTGCTGGCTTCTCCTCATGGCCTCTCCACACAGACTACTTTGAACTTCCTTGGGCACAGTGGAAACTTCTTGGTACCATCTACCCCAACGGGTCAAACAAAAGCTATCTTCTCCCTGTGACCTAGCCTAAGATGTTACATGCCATTACACTTGTCACACTCCCTCATGTAAATGGGTAGCTACATGTAAGTGTGTATGCACAGAAGTTGTATTAATTGCTACCTTGTGACAAATGCCTCCAGAAAGTCATAGCTTAAGACCATAAAGTTTTAACTCAAATAATTGAAAAAGAAACATTTTATTTTATCTATCAATCTATCTCCGCCCATGCAAGCTACCAAACATGTGTGGAGGTCAGAGGACAACTTTCAGGAGCCAGCTCTCTCCTTCTATCATGTCCCAGAGATTGAACTTCAGCTGTAAAGCTTGGTGGCAAACACCCTTACCTGCTACGGCATCCTGCCAGCACCTTCAAATCAAATTTCTCCCTCCCTCTCTCCCCCTCACCTGCCTCTGGGTGAGTGTGTATATGTAGCACAGAGGAGTGAACCCAGGACCTTGCGTATGCGAGACAAATGCTCAACCACAGTTATAGCCCCAACCCTCTTCCCACATTTTGTTTTGAGTCATAGAGTCTCACTAGGTTGCATAGGTTAGCCTTAAAGTCACGCGGTAGCCTAGGCAGGGCTTGGGCTCATGATCCTCCTGCCTCAGCCTCCCATGTGGTTGAGATTACAGGCCTGTGCACCAGAACATGTGGTTCTCCTCCTGCCTTGGGTGGGGGGCTGTCTCCCACCAGCCCACGAAGTCAGGAGGGACACTAAGGCGAGGTGCAAGGCTGGAAAGGCCAGTGAATATGTAGGAGATCAGATACTCTGGGAACCTCTTCGGGGAGCTAGTTCAACATTGATTCTACAGAAAAAGGTTACGTAACCCTTGGGGAGTAAGTGTGGAGCTCCAAGGATAGATGTACATAACTGGTTAAGACTAGGCACTTCAAGGATTCTTGATTTTCATTAAACAGCAAGCTGCTATCACATGAATAGAAATATAGTAACTAATTATCATACAGGCGCGGGGAGGGGAGGGCTAGCAGGGAGCTGTGTCAAAGGCCGTATATCAAATGTGGCTAGGGACATCTATGTCTAGACACACTCTCCAGATGAGGTCAAGCAGAGAGCAAGAGGCCCTGCTGGGACAAGGCCGTCCTGCACCTTAACGCCAAGCTCAGAATGGCTATCCAGAATGGGAGGATGCAACCTCAAACAGCAGGGTTCTTCCATTTATGTGTATAAATTTTTCTGTTTTTTTTTTTTGTTTTTGTTTTTGGTTTTTTTTTTTTTTTTTTTTTTTTTTTTTTTTTTTTTTTTTTTTTTTGCTTGCATGTATGTACATTTACCACACGCATGCCTGGTACCTATGGAGTACAGAAGAGGGTGATGAATCCTCCCAAATTGGAGTTACATATGGTCATGATTCATCCTTCGGTGCTAGAACCGAGCATGGGTCCTCTTCAAGAAAAGCAAGTGTTCTTAGCCTTAGAGCCACATCTCTAGCCCACTCAAATAATTTCTTAAGGTCAGAAATCTGTGATTCTGATTCTGGGCCCTTCCTGAAATTGGGGGTGAGATGTCCATGCTAATCGGAAGGTTTAATGGGTCTTCTCCTGAGGCTATGACCAGAGAACCTGCCTCCAAGGTCACACATGAGCCTGAGCAAGAAGACTTCATGCCTCATCATCATGTGAAACTCTCCAAGGACTACACAGATAACAGCAATGGGCCTCACCCAGAGTAGGTAACCCAAGGGAGACAGTTAAGCGCCTTTATAGTCTACTGTCAGGAATGGTTGG